CCATGTTTTGATTTGGCAGCCCTTAGCTTTCTTCCAGCCTATTCCTAAGTCGCAAAATATAGCTCGACGAGGCGCTCGGTGGTTAGGCATACGTAACACATTTCCCAACCATCTCAACTGATGAAGTTCCGGATGAAAGAGAAGGGTTGCGTATAGAGTTAACGACTCCATCCCGTAGAAAACTAACTCGCTAAGAAAAACGCCAACCAGAAAAAAATAATTTATGTCATTTCAACTTTACCCTAACAATTAGAAGGTTTTCATTTGAAAAAGTCTTGACGCCTCATGATAAAAGCCAAACTCGCTCAAAAGTCATGAGGTCGATGCTCCACTTCTGACAACCACATTCACCATAAATATCAGTACATTGATAGAAGAAAAGACAGAACAGAAGATATTTTGCATTTGACCAGTTGATTTCTTTCCTCCTCACAGTATATAAACTCAACAAACATTGCAAGCTAATAAAATTTAAATTATTTTTTATAAATTCCAGTTGAAATGTTTCATTTCTTTCTCAGACAGAGAAAAAGCGATGAAATGAGAGGCGGAGAGAGAAAGAGGAAAGGAAAAAAGAAATCTGTGGCAATTTTTACACTTGAATTCAATCGGTTAAAAATGAAAAAATTAGACAGCGTGAACAACATACACACACATAAATGTAAATCGACCTGGTTAATCATAAACATAATTATATAATATTATGGAGCTAGTTGGAATCATTGTTAGGCCACCACTGAAGAGACGACCTCTTCATCCTGGTTTGGGACTTATCAATGGTGTGCATCCACGAATCTTACTACCCACAGGATTCGTACCCAGGACCTTAGGTCTTGTTTTCCAACGCCTGACCTCTTAAACACTGAGGCGGCAGGTATCGGACGGTGTAATTGTTTAACTCTGATCAATCTAAAGATTTTTCACAACCTTACTCATTGTGTTCCATAGTTACTGCCTACACTCAACAAGATTGAACTCCACTGGTTCATGATTCATTCATAATTTCAATGTGTTAAAACAACGATCTTCATAATGCAAAATTGTTCATTTTTGTATCATTAATCAATAAAGGTTTGTAATGGTCCAGTAAAAATACTAAACTATCCCACAGTTCATAATCAGAAAGTGAGTTTTGATCAAGCAGCCAGTGATCGATGATGATCGATAATACTTATTTAGTTTAAACTATTGGATAAAATAACATCTCTCACCAAAATGTAGTAATTAAAATCTCAGTAGACTTATCAGTACTTGGCAAATGAGCTACATTTTACAAACCAAAATCAATGTTTGCAATAATTCCTAAATTCGTTAGAAAATCAATCTTTACACTAATTCAACTATGATGGAATGCATAGTTTTCATTAGAAATTCTAGCTAATTAGTCAATTACTTAAAACTCAGTGATTTTACTTTGAAATCATGAATGAAACGCTGTTAGACAACCATTAAAAACTATTGGGGTAGGTAGGAGGCGATAAATGGTCACACTATCGCAATCATATACGCAAAGGGCTAGCCTCAGATCGCCCATCAACAGGAGCAAATCTTCCCCTTGACATCCTGCTTGATACCTTCAACCTACCGGCAGCCCCGCCGCGAGAAGAAACTCAGCAACAAGCTGTTCTCCATTCCAGAAGGTATCCTCCCAGAAAGTAGCGAACAACATTCAATATGCAAGTCGACCCCAGGAGCAAACGCTATTAATAAAGGGGGAGTGTTGGGGATGTTAGATCCCTAAAACTCGCTTGATAAATATCTTTATTTTGGATTTAATTCATGAGCCGACCAGTTGACCTTGAGATCACATTTTCCATCAAGAAAAGCCTTGACTATGATCGGTTAATGTGTTATTTTAGCGTTCTATTTTTGTGACTCTCCCAAGGACGTTTCTATGGTGTATAAATAAAAGCGATCATTGTGTTTGCTGGGTTTTTGTAGAATATACTTTCTACGCTATATTAAGACTTCTTCATTAGTCAACGGATCAGAGTAGCCTACCTGGACACGGTTTACCGTCTTGTTCTCGTTTAATGCCTAAGGTGACCCCATAATAGTTTCAAGTGACGACCTTAACAAGAACCTGAAAGCGCTGGACGGCCGTTTCGTCCTTGTCCATGGGATTCGTCAGCAGTGCACATCCCCAGTTTCAATGCAAAACAATGATCTCCACAATACCATGATTGAAATATTAAAAAATTGTGCTCAATAATGACTAACTTCGCGAGTAAATTTTCGGAGTTCTAGTGAGAAGACTTGACCTGTGAAGTTCAACGCTGTCGAGTGCAGTCAGTTACTGCCGAAGACCATGAGTAAGGTTGCTGAGCACCCTGAGATTGATCAGATTTAAACATTACCACAGCTGGATTCTGGCTCAGCTGTTCAGAGGTTAAGCGTTCGCGCACAAAACCGAAGGTCCTGGGTTCGATTCCTGTTAGGATATTCATCAAATATCCTAAGTCTGACAATACTGGTCAATATTATGGTCGTCCTAACTGTCAATATCACGTACTTCAATGTTATTTCCTATTGGTCGTCACGACTATCAATGTCACAGACTTCGATGTTGTTTCCGATTCGACCTAACTGAATAAATACGCATTATCTGTAACGTTTTATGACCCGGACCAGGATCGGATCCTTATTCTGTGATCCTGATTCTCTTCTGGAATCGGACCTCGTACTTCTGGATGCTTGTAGAATACATATTCTACTTCATATCAAGTCTTCTTCTTTTACTCAATGGGGGTTTGGGACAATCGTGCATACGTAACAATTCCCAAGTTTGGGGATCGCGAATGCGCACTGCCACTGATGAGTCCCATCCTAGGACGAAACGACCGTTCAGTACTTTCAGGTTTCTACTGGTGATTTTACAATGATACATTCAGGATTTCAATGTGTAAAAAACGAATAATTAATTGACTTTCGAAGTAGAAGGTACTGAGTTTGAGCCCCATCAACTTTCGGACGTCAGAACATTCAGTTGACAAGTACAGAAAAGGACGAAATACAACCATTTATTCCCAAGAAGGAAACTGATTCTTTAGGATGAGTTTAAAAGTTTTGTTTTACGGGTTGAAAAACTAAGTGATTTAATCATCAAACCACCAATCTTTCAGTATTAATCTATTTTTAAAAAAAAATCTCTTTAGTTGAAATGAAAAGTTTTACCGAATTTTGTAAGAAATATCATGATTACATAACGTAATAAACGAAAAAAAGGTGATAAAAACTAACAGATATTTAAAATTTCTATTAAGCTATTTGGTGAATCTTTACAAACAGACAATTTTAATTCAGAATCTGTAAAAAAATATCTAATATCTTCATCTTAATAAGTAAAATGAATGAGAACTTTATTATTCAACCAACCAAATAAGTTATAAAAATTTTCAAACTTTCATTTGTCAATAAATTGAATATATTTTCTACAATCAAGAGTGAAGATGTAACAGGAAATTGTAAATACATTCTAATGATTAAAACGTAATTTGATGGATGTTGAGAGTAGAGAAAAAGTTAGACTGATTAACCAGTGAAACAAATACTTTGATTATTTCACTGATATCATGAACCAATCATTGTTCGATCACCATTAGGAACCTGGATACACTGGACAGCTCTGGTATGGGGCTCATTAGTGTCTGTGCGCATCCAGGAATCCTACTACCGGTAGGGTTCGAACACTGGACCTTCTGTCTTGCACACGAAGGTGTCGACTACCTGTCTGGGGTCTTCAAGATGATAGTAATCGATGGTTAGAGACTCTGACATGACATGGCTCAAAACCGTTTGCAATGGCACAGGTGTATCCGTTCTTTGTGTTCTGTCGAATTCTAATCGTCTGAATTCCTCATTACCTATATCGTGTTCTTTTTATGTTTATTTCACTAGATTCTACTTCTGGAATAATATCTTCGAACCCTAATCCCTCAGATTACTACGAATACTTCTACTACCTCTAGTACGTTAGGATTTGAATTGACAATCCAGCGTGTTTGTGCTAATGTAGTTTGACAACTTGAACTGATATATTTACGCACGTACGAAGTTCTATGTTGATATTGACTGACTGACTGAGTGACTGATGTCTAACCCCGATCAATCTAAGGATTTTTGTTAAACCTCATCCATTTGTCTTCAATTGTCAATGCCTACTACACCCAACAGGGTTGAACTCTACTGGTCACGTCTTCTCACCAGAACTCCGAGAATTTCTTCACGAAACTAGACAGTAGTGAGCGGATTGTATTATTTTCCCAAAACAACGAGGCATCATATTATTATTTACTTGCTGTGCACTACAGACTAGTCATAAAAGACTATCTTATTGAAACGATCATGAAATCGATTGTTTCTATCAAGTTAATATGGTCCTGATAGTAGTACTAGGTGGTTAAAAGTAATGAATAAGAAACTCCTCATATAAATTTTTTATTCAAAATGACTTTCGTCAGCAAGATGAAAATGTAATTTATGCGTTGTTGGGTCATTCAGACTTATATGTTCACACTACGAACTAAAAGGGCCAGGCACTATGTGTTATCCTACTACGTTTCACAGTGACGAATCCAACACACTACCGAAGACTTCCGTATCGAAGTATGAACATCAAGCACACATTAAATTGCAACTAAAATCTAGTACAACCCCTGTCCACGTTAATATCATTAGAAAATAGTTGGATTTGCATAGCCTTACATTATAAATATAAAATAATTCATAGTTGATGTTAAATGATGTGTAGCATAAGTCAAACTCTCTATATATATATATTACAAACTTGTAATCAAATCAAGTACGTAATGCACTCACTACTTGATAAACTTGATAAACTAAATATTAGCCAATTTTCATTGAATTATCAGTGAACAATACTGAAAACAAATTTTCTCTTTTTTTAAAAAAAAAACTACTACTCAAGTATCATTGAATAACTAGATTTGTTGATTTTATTACAATTTTTAGTACGTACGGGAAAGAGATTCGGATTACTGTTATATACTAAAAATTCGAATAATAGTAGTAGTAGTAGTAGTAATGCCAGTAGTAGTAGTAGTAGTAGTAGTAGTAGTAGTAGTAGTAGTAGTAGTAGTAGTAGTAGTAGTAGTAGTAGTAGTACTTTGCAATACTCTACTAACTTTACTAACAAACACTTGATCTCTCTCTTGTTCATCATTTTGTTGGTTGATTTGTCTCTTTCTTGATACTTGCTCTTCATTTAATCCACTTACCGTAAAGTTAGACATAACTATTCATTCCCTACTTTTTTTCTTTTAACGATTATGCACAACAGAATAATAATTATTATTTTCATTGTTAAGTGTAGTGCTTATGATGTAAAAGAAAAAAAAACGATGTACGTTTTGAAAAATAGTAATAAATTTAATCTGTACATAATAATAATAATTGTTATTATCTGTCGAATATCGCGTTTACTTTTTTTCCCTCATCCTCATAAATTTCATTCTCTCTTTTAAATTATCTGGTTATTCATCAATATGATGTTTATTTCGATATGATCGTTATCAGAAGAAACTTGGAAGTACTGGACAGGTGTTTTGTCTTAGTGTACAGGACTCATCAGTGGCAGTGCGCATCCACGACTTCTACTACTCATATGAATCGTACCCAGGACCTTCAGTCTTGTCAGTTAACGGTTAACCAGTGGACCTTTAGTAATAGTCAGCATCTAACGGTATTCATGTCTAACTGATGAGTTCCATGCTGGGACGAATCGACCGTCCATTGTTTATGGAATACTGGTCTACTTATATGCTTGTATGCTATGACGAGTTTACCTTACTCGGTAAACGAGAGCGAAGCCCAATGATGCATTGATAGGTTATTCTAATCCGTTAGTCCCTGGCCAAGCTAACTGTATCAAGAAGTCTTGATAAGGCATAGAAAGTGTATTCCATAAGCACCCAGTAAATACGAGCACACAAATCGAGCTTATTTACACATGACAGAAACGTCCTTGGGAGAGCCACAAAAATAACGTACTAAAATAATCCACTAACCAACGACAGTCAAGGATAATGTAAGCTGTAGGTCGACTAGGCAACTTATGCGCGAAAACCTAAAAAAAACCCAAAATAAGGACTATTTCCAAGTGAGTTCTGGGCATCTAACCTCCTCAACAGTTTCCGGATTTTTAATGATAGTTTAACATTGATCGATGGGGGATTTTAAAGTCACTCAAAAATTTCCACAACCCTATGATGCCAGTTTTGTTTACTGTCTAATTTTTTTTTTATGATATAAAGACAGCAAAATATGACTCCTGGGAAATTGTAGACAATGGTATACATAGGTACTTTTTTTATTCAGATATTTTTGGTAATTTAGATGAATACACCCAAGAAGAAAAAAATAATGAAAATAATTGTCTCCATTGGATTTTCCTGTCTCTGTTCATAAAAATTTATCCAACTCCAGAGGCATGGGAGCGATGGAAAGAGAGAGATATGTGTAGGAAGTCATAGATGCGTCGTTTAACCTGGAAAAAAAGAGGTATTTTCAAGAGTCCAGCATATCTCATATAGATTTATTTATAGTTTGAAGCTGTACATCTCCTATTCAATGATACTTCTCCATTTAACCATTCTGCAGTAAATTCTTACTGTCGGAAAATTTGATATTTTGAACAACCATTGAAAGAATCACAGTAATGTAGACATAATCAGACTAGACACTAGAGAAAGAATTTTGAAAATCTGGAGATCAGTCACCGTCGCAAGACGTTAAAATCTGAGGGAAGAAGCACGGGATGCAGTGTACAGCCCGAATGCACGTGGAAGATCTAGACTTCGCAGACAATCTAGCTCTTCGATCATACACAGAACAATAACTCCAGGATGTGTGAAGGCACGGATTAACGAAACAGAGTCAGCATTTCTGCAATTGAAAAACCTCTGAAACTCAAAACAACTATCTGTCAACCAACACCAAAGTCAGAATTTTCAACGCGAATGTTCGGACACTTCTATTGTATGGAGTGGAAACTCGGAGAACTACGAAAGCCGTCATTTAGAAGACATAAGTTTTTAATAACTGTTTGTTACGCTAAATTCTTCAGATCTGTTGGCTAGACACCGTCAGCAACAACCTACTATGAAAGAGAACAAATAAGATTCCAGCGTAGGAAGAAATCAGGAAGAAACGCGGGAGGTAGATAGGACAAACATTGAAGAGAGCGTCAAATGACAAGCCCTCTCTTGGGACCCTCAAGATCAAAGGAAAAGAGGAAGGCTGGGCAACACATTACGCCGAGAAATGTAGACCGACAAAAGAAGAATGAACAGCAGTTACACAGAAATGGAAAGGAAGGCTGAGGACAGAGTAAGTTGTAGAGTGCCGGTCGTCGGCGTAAGTAAGTAAGTAACAGTCGCGAGAACTTAACACCTTATTATATGACATTATTGATAAACCTATTGTGATCACACGATATCCAAAGTTGATTCGGAAAAAACCAAAGCTACAATGCTTAAATAACATCTCCACCCAACAAGAGCAACCGTCTATATATCCACGTGATTATCAACCTGCCTATAAATATACAATAATGAAAAATCTTTTATTTTTAGCTTCATTGGTAAAACTTACTATATGACAGTTTTTTTGTCTAGCTTAATTGTGTAAGTTATCATCTGACATCACAATAAATAATTCAATGTCTGACAATACTGTAATTAAAAAAATCGAAAACTATGCCCACTTTGGCGACTAGCTTCGTGATGAAATTCCCAGAGGTCTAACGAGAAGACGTGACTGGTGGAATTAAATCATATCATGTGTAGGTAGTAACTACCGAAGACAGTGGGTGAAGTTGCGCAAAGAGCTAGACAATAACACTATTGGATGCCGGGTCAGTGGTTCAGAGGTTGAGAGATCATGCTCAAGCCCAAAGTCCTTGGGTTTGAATTGCGTGTGTGGTAGGGGTCGTAGTTGCTCACTGCCAGTAATCAGTCCCATACCATGACGAAACAGTCCTACGGAGCTTCCTGGTTTCTCATGGTTATCTAACGATGATTCATTATATATATATATATATATATATATATATATATATATATATATATATATATATATATATATATATATATATATATACAAGGAGATGGAAGGTACATGAAATAAAATGTGTTCAACATTCACTTGAATAAATTTTTTCATTCACAATGAAGTGTTTATTAATTGCAGTTCTCCAATCTGACAACTCTGCCTGATCCCCCCCCTTTTTCCGGGTCTACTACCGATCCCAAGGCAGGATAAAGGAAGGGGGAATTGGGCGTGGTGTCATCAAACACATCCCGTCGAAAACTAACTCGCTAACATAAAAAAAAAGCTAACCCAAAATAATTAATTCTCTTTTTTTTTAATTATTTCCTATTCCGTTTTATGTCTTCAGTATAGTACACAAAACAGATTAATGAATAGATTGATCGAAATTCTTCAGTAACAATAATAAACAATCCTAGTAATGTTGACTGTTATTTTTTTTGCCTTATAGGCAGGTTTGTATCATACTTTTTTTGCCTCAATCTGTTATCTCGTCAGTCTAGAACTATTTTTAACGATTTTGTAAGATTATGGTGGAGCTCTTTGTCCGCCTTCTGTCTACAGTACACGCGTGCGCTCTCTCTCACTCCCTCACTCACTCAATCTGTCTTAGTCTTGATCAACTATTGATAAGCGTTTCGTGCATTTTTTTTCTGCGACTAACAATTGCATGATACAATTTTCTTGAGGTAATTATTATCAATGATAAAATTAGAATTTTGTTTTCTAGCAAAATCAAGGAAAATTATGTGTGTGTGTGTGTGTATATGTATGTGTAGTTGAATGTTGTATTTTAGATGAAAAATTATCTCTTATGCCTTCTAGCATATAATTATTTGGATAGGCATATATATATATATATATATATCAGTCAGTCAAATGCAACCTAGAACTTCGTACATAAGTACATCAGTTCATGTTGCCATACCACATCAGTACAGAGAAGTAATCGTCAATTCAAATCCAATAGTAGTAGAGGTAGTAAAGGTATTCGCAGTAATCGGAGAGGTTAGGATGAGGAGATATTATTCAAGAAGTATAATTCAGTGAGAAAAGTTTAGAAAGTCAAAACTAGAGGTGTTGAAGAATCCAGATGATCAGGATTTGTGAGAACACAGAGAATAAATGCACTGGCGCCATTGCGAACGATTTTGAGCCATGTCGTTCAGGGTATCTAACCATCGATTATTATCATCTCGCGGACCCAAACCAGGTAGTCGACAATTACCGACATGGCTCAGTCCACTCGTCAATGACTTCACGGATTTGTGACATGTTTTGGTTTGGCCACCCCTAACTTTCTCCCATCCTACTCCTACACTACAAAGCAAAGCTCGTCGAGGTAGTCGGTGGTTAGGCATACGTAACACATGTCCCAACCACCTCAACTGATGAAGTTTCACCACTTCATCTATTGCTCTCACATCCTTACCTAGTACTCGTTTCCTAACGATAGCATTGCTTACTCGGTTGTCCCACGATATACGAGCAATGCTTCGAAGACATCTATGATCGAAAACCAGTAACCGACGAATATCTTCTACTCTCACTGGCCATGTTTCACAGCCATAAAGTAGGACGGAGTGAACTACTGCGCAGTACACTCGTCCTTTAGTCAGCAAACGGATATCTCGCCTACGCCATAAGTGACGCAGGTTGGCAAAAGCCAATCGAGCCTTCTGTATCCGAGCTGAGATTTCGTCAGTCACCAGACCGTCAGCACTGATGAGACTCCCAAGATAAGTGAAGCGGTCTACACGCTCGACTACTTCACTCCCTATCACTAGTTCAGGTGCCGATGCAACCCAGTCTTGAAGCAACATTTTGCATTTCGAGGGGAAAACCGCATCCCGAACATGCTTACATTGTTGCTTAAGGTGGTCAGAGGATTTTACATTTTGTCAGCATCTTCATCAAATAGAACAGTGTCATCGGCATATTCTAAGTCAATAAGCGAGCCTCCTGGTAGAAGGTCTACTCCTGAAAAGTCGGACGAGGATAAGGTTATATCTAGGAGCATGTCTATGACAAAATTAAACAAGAATGGAGAAAGTCATATATATATATATATATATATATATATATATATATATATATATATATATATATATATATATATATATAACTGCAAAAACGTACACGAAGGACAGCTAACAGACTTGTTCGAGGTGAAGAACGGCTTCAG